AAAAGACAATTACAACCAAATAGAACAGAAACGTGATTTAAGACATGAAAAAAATGTAGAATATAAACAGCAATTTCCTGCATTGTTTATTCTGTAAAATAAATGTTTTCATGTCAGCAAACATGAACACAGTCTCATTTTTATCGAGCCAATAAATCGGGCTGGCTCCACTACACATACAGCCTTGAGTGGGGTTATAAGTTGTATATTTCTATTCAGAACAGCACTACTATCATATTATACACCAGTATATTATTTAGAAATCCAATTCCGGAACCATTTTATAGGGCAGACAATACCAAACTGTGTTTGCGTTGTAAAACCACACTATGTGTTTACTTTGCTCCCCCTGCGCCTTGTTTGTTGTCGCTGGCTGACAGATTACACTCTATTCTAGTGTCTCCACCCTTTTTTACTGTGTACTCAGCAGCATATGGACAAAGCTGAGGCTGTCGTCATCTCCACAAACACAACGTAGTGCAGCTGTGATCTGTTATCATCAAGTAAATGTTTTAAAACCATTAGATTATGTAACAGAACAAATGAGACCATAAATGCAAAATATGATGCGTTATCTTTTTTACAGCTAACACCCTGAGCGTGTGTGTTGACACTGAGCTCGTCCTGGGTTCTCTGTTAACGCAGAAATATACAGTAGCTCTGCCCTCCCAAAATAAAGAGGTTTATTCAGACAGAGACCAGACGACCAGAAATTCAACTTCAACTTCAAACCCTGAGAAATGTAGAGGAGGAACAGTCGTGGGGAAGTTCCTCTCTTTCATTTACTGCAGAGTCAGAATCATCACTTCCTCTTGTTCCCTTTTTCTTATGCAGGAGCAGCAGGTTTCATTTATTCAAGCACTGAAACTGCAAATTTACAATTATCAAACCTACATCTGTTATTCTAATCAGCTGTAATGAACTATTTTATACTTTTCTGACCTTCACTGCATAAAGTTTTCCTACAACCACGGCAGCTTTAAACTGTGTGAAAAAGTGTGAACATGAATAAGTATGTAGATAAAGTAGAAAACATACGTCTGATGTCCAAACAGTGATGCAGGATGAAGACCTTTGCTGCAATTTTTTTTTCATGCAATTAAATTGCATGATATGCATCCAGTTAACGCAACTTTCACATCCCCAATGGAATTTTTTTGATGAGCGATATTGCAACTTTTATTTGTTCGTACCCAGGAAGACTTTTCCAAGGTTTCGTTTCAGACATTTACACGTCCAACAAATCAGAACGTGTGTTGTAGACAATGTCACATTCAGATGCACACACAGCTGGGACTGTTTACGAACAAATGGAACAATCAAGAGAAATCTTTTATCAAGACTGGTTCCCGTTGTTGCAGCAGTTTGTCAAACTTTCTGATGAGCATCCTCTAATATGCACAGAAGTTTTTGTTGTTGTTGTTGTTTTTGTTAAGTTCCCCCGAACCATTCAGTGAGCTCACCATGTCCGGAATTCTCTTCAGAATGATTCGCAATTTCATGCTATTTATTTTTTGTTGATGTGTAAAGGCCTTAAGATCTGTGTTGAGAGAGTCTCAGCTGCAGTAACACGATGGGAATCTGTTTCTCGTTCAGGGTGAACAGGCCATCTCTCACCTATGGCGAGGCGGTGCAGTATGGGATGGAAAACGTGTCGTGGCTCAGGAGACATTCCCAGTGGGGAAAGTAAGACAAACGCTTTCCAGTCTTTCATAACCAGACCTTGACTTTAATTCATATTATTCTGCGCACAGCTGTTTCACAGCATCGTTTCGTCTCTTTGTCTTTTTCAGACGAACCGTGAACTTGTTCCTCATCATCACGCAGCTCGGCTTCTGCTGCGTCTACTTCGTCTTCCTCAGCGACAACGTCAAACAGGTCATGATCACACACAAATGTCATCGGCCACCTTCGGGGACTTTGCATAGGCTTACATTAATTTCCTAGAGCTTACGCCAAAACCACCAATGTGCCTAACCTTCATCACTGACCCAAACGTTCTGAATTTTCTTTCCCAAAGGTAGCCAATGACAGAAACACACACACACACACACACACACACACACACACACACACACACACACACTAGTGCTTGAAAGTACTCTGATGTGATTGGTCTGCTTAAGTTGTTAACATAACACAGTAAAATCAAGCCACTCAATCAAAGTGTCTGTTTACTTTATTGTACAGAAGCTCTGTTAGTCTGGTCACATAAAGGTTATTTTAGTTCATACAGCCAGAGTTATGCAAGAGTTTTGACCATATATGTACATACGCTCGCTGACGAGGTGAGCAGCTTTCAGTGGACGTTCAAAGTTTACACACATACCACAGGAGATATGAATAAATACTGTAGGTCAGTAGCGATGGAGGGATAATGGTGATTTCATAATAGTAGAGAGAAAAGATTTAAATGCACCAGCTTCATCAGAACACTTAAAATGATCCCAAACAGGAATGTTTGCTTCATCTATGATTACTGTAACTTTTGACCCTCACCTTTTTACCACCATCCAGCCCCTTGTTATGGTTGAAGATATGGAAAGTTACACAGGTTGAACAACAGTGAACTTTTTTTAAACCTGCCTTTTAATCTGCAGTTTACATTTTGCTTGTTTACATGTTTCATTAAAAATGAATAAAAACTATGGTCCCTAAATTCAAGTGTCCTTAGGTCTCTTGAAAGGTGCAATATATAATTCTATACATTTAAGTTATTATTTTTATATTATTAAAATAGTTGTCGATGGATAGATTTGTGCTACACTTTCTTACCACTAGATGGTGATGTCCGTCTTCCATGTGTGCCACCAAACAATTTAATTCTGAGAACTCAGAGTATGAAAACTCCCAATCTCTCCTGTTTATGTAGATAAATGAATAATACAATTGGAAAATACAAGAAAAAAAAATCCCATTGCATTGACACTGTTTTTTTCCCATAATCCAGCATGATACAAATTGTGTACGAGGATTCGTTAAAGGATTTTTGAAATGGTTTAAAGAAGTGATCTAAAAGATGTCACTGATTCTGCAGCCTCAGGATCAAAACTAGATCACACTGATGAAGCTGATTGGAAACTATTGAAACTTAATATTCATTTATAAAACAAAATGATGAAGCACTTTTCTTCCTCCTCTTATGTTAAATAACTTCTGTGTTCTCTCCTCTTCTGTCTTCACCAGGTGGTGGAAGCAGCCAACGCCACAACCTTCAACTGCTACATGAACTACACCAATCAGACGCAGGTCCTGGTGCCGAGCTTCGACTCTCGCCTCTACATGCTCTGCTTCCTGCCCGCCTTCGTCCTGCTGGTCTTCACCCCTAACCTGAAATTCCTGGCTCCTTTATCCCTGGTGGCCAACCTGGTTATGACGGCCAGCTTGGTACTCATCTACTTCTACTCCATCACGGTAAGCTGTGTGTGTCTGTGTCACTCTGATATTCAATCTGTAATGACCTTTTTGATTTTATAATATACAGTCTAGAAGTGCGTCAGACCTGAAGTAGTTTCCCTCATGATCCAGCAGAGGACGCTCATCATCATCAGCTTGACCTATTGTTCGCCCTCTTGATCTGTCAGTGCAGTAAGCCTTTGCCTTAACGTTGTTTTGATACGGAACTGGAGCGAGCAAGCGAAACCATCCTTAGCGGACAATCACGACACCAAAACACCTGAGAAGCGCTGTGTGGAAATGTTTTGTGCTCTTCATTGTAAACAGGGAAGTAAAAAAACCGGAGATGCAGTCAGACGTCAAATTCATCCAAACTTTTTTTTTTTGTTTTTTGTTTTCAAATATCAAACTGTTGATGTAGAAAATTTGTTTTACTTCCGTTCATTTAGTTTTATTTTCACCTACAATTAAGCATTTATTTGAATTGCATTCAGCCTCACACAGAGTAGTGGTGATAATTCTCCGCTGCTCTGCTGCCACAGTGATGTTGTAGCAGCATGTGCACATGTCATCATACGCTTTAGAAAAACAAAATGAAGTGAGAAAGTCAGATTTCTACAGCAAGATCTGATGACCAAGAGTGTGCACTGCATTTTTTGCACATTTGTATTTGTGCAGTTTATACAGTTTTGGTATTGTTTCTATTTATAGAAGCTTTCACTTACTGGTGTGATTGTAACTCCGCAGTTTCCCTCGGGCAATCTTTCAATTTTTTTCTGATTCTATTTCTGGTCTTACAGCCACCGATCTCAAACTGCTGTGTGTTGTGCTCTGTCTCTTTGTTTCTAGTTTGTTGATTGGTTTCTAGGCGTGATGTTGATAACAGGACAACTGGTTGTGACAGAGTCTCCAGCCTGTTTTCCAGCAGTGGAGTATTTCATCACGCAGCTTCTGCCCTCTGCAGATACATAGAAGTCGCGTTCCCTGAGAAACGGCCTTGCCTTGAAGAAAAAAAAGTAATTTCTTGCATCAGAAACCTTACAAAGATCCTGCTCTCAGAGATCTATGTGGCCCATAAGGTGTTTCTGTGACTGATGAATCACCTGAGCCGGGGATTTTGAGAAAACTAGAGCATAAAGGCGAGAACTGTCTTGAAAACAGTCTGGAGTCACTTTCTATTCATATCTCACCATATTGTCCATGTGCATTTCACCTCAGATTGCATAATAGTGTTAATAAGGCTCTGGCTCATTTTAAGGCCAATATAAAATATAGATGTATATCATAGAAAGTGAAATCACAGAGAGGTTCCCCTTCATCGTGCTGACTCGTACTCTTTTTCCCATCTGAATAAATTAATCCAGAGTCATTCTTTAACTGTCCTCGGCCCTGTCCCAATTCCTCTCCCTTGGCTCTACCCGTAGATATGAAGTGCCCTTCGCTGTAAGTGTCCCGTTCCAAACGGATCCACAGGGAAGAGGGCTAGAAAATCTTCCTCAGGAATCGGCACACCACTCACTTCATCATCAGCAGCCGACCAACATTATTACAGTGACTGACAATAACATGTTATTCTGCTTATTCCTCAACTACTTATGAAAGATTCTAATCATGTTAAATTATCCTTTTGGCAACTAATGTAATAAACAAACGATGAGTCTAACAGGACCAGGGAGAGAAGTTCTCTTGGCACAATGGTGTTGTTACTTAACGTGATTACTTTCTGTCCATAGAGTGAATGTCTTGTCTGCAGGAGTGATATGATTATATCTGAAACGAGTGTCTGTCACCCAGCAGTAACAAACCAGACAGTCAGAGGGGATCGTCCAACAAAGCCTCAGATTATAACATCACTTCTATTCAATTTTATTTGTATTACACCAGATAACAACATACATTATTTAAAGTAGAGCTCAATCTACTTTAGTTTTAAACAATGCAGACAAGATGCAAATTTATGTTTGCATTAATTTAAGTTCTATATATTTGGTTTAATTTGTTTTTCTTTTTATTGATATATATTTAGAATGAAGTTTATGGTTAAACTGGGAAAAAATATGGTTAAAATCAATCAATACAGGCTGTTTTATTTGTACAGCTTTTTCCATACAAACAATGTAACACAAAATACTATATAAGCAGAAATAAAAATATTAAATATCTATGTTTTCTTTTCCCCAGAACATCACAGATCCCACCAACCTACCAAAAGTGGGCAGAGCTAAGGACTACCCTCTCTTCTTCGGGACGGCCATCTTTGCCTTTGAAGGGATTGGAGTGGTATGTGACCTTCGTGTGCTGTCGTTCTTTTGTTTTGACAGGTCGTTTATGATGCACTCTGTTAAAGAGTCTGTGTCTTTGTCTCTGTGGGTCGGCAGGTTCTTCCCCTGGAGAACAAGATGCAGAGGCCTCAGAGTTTCACTGTGGTTCTGTATTTAGGAATGGGCATTGTCACCTTCCTCTACATCAGCCTCGGCACCATCGGATATTTGTGCTTTGGAGAGCACATAGTAGGGAGCATCACTCTCAACCTGCCAAACTGCTGGTAAGAAACACCAGCGTTCCCCACATAACCTCAGTGCCTGATCTGCCTCCGTTCAGTACAACTTCAGTTTGTATTTGTCACCACTGTTTGACATAATAATAGGAGTGTTGTGTGTGAAGCCCTGGCTATTGTATTTGAGTTAATGAAGACAAGCCTGGCTTATCAGGCAATGTGTGTAAGCTAATTTGTGTTCATTTGACAAAGTTAAATATTAATATTGAAAAATAAGCCACACTCCCAACTGACATGTTATTTACAGCTTTTCTGCTTTATTACCAGTAATATTGGGATTTGTAGAGAAGAGAAATACTGTGTACATGTTGTATATTTCTAAATTAGTTTTATCAAATGATCTCACAGGAAACCTGGAAATAAATTACATTCAATCATCATTATCACTATCACTGTCCCTGCTGGACACCCAGAGAGAAGTAAATCTTCAGGAATTAACACTTATAAAACTAGAAGGAAGCCTGGAGAGCGCATACCTCCGCCAAAGCTAACGTCAAGTTTGTCGGATTAAACAAATACAAATTTCCTCTACGGGAATTGGATGAGCTCTTCTTTGGCTTGTGCCAAAATTCATGGAAATTGGTTCAGTAGTTTCTGTTTAATTGCACTGAAAGACAGAAAAGCAATTGAACACAGATGAGGACATCCCTGGCATAGGTAATAATCATCTAACGTCTTTGACTAATTTGTTTTGTGTGTCATCTGGTTCGTCTGGGTCTTGATTAACACTATTCATCTTCATCCCTCTGATGAAAACACTCAGTCATGATGCAAACTCATCTCATCCCTTCTGTAGGATAATTTAAGGGGGAATAAAGTTAGTAAAACCAAATACTCTTGTTGGATTTGCTTCCTCATTACTTGGCACTATCGTCACAGCTGCAGGAGACCCAGGTCTTTAGAAATGCCTCATGCAACTGGACTGATGTCGCTAATTAGTGGAGCAGACTGGCTGTTTAATGAGGTTGAAAACTGAAACACTGCAATTACCAGTATCTGTAAGTGAGCAGCAGACAGTCAGTGCTTACTATGTGTTTTATAAGGATATTGGATTAATGGATCTTGAGCATGAAGTTTGAGGCCTTGTGCTGATCCATCTGTGGCTTTTATGATTAGCTGCATTTCGATGCACTGAACAAATTCAAACTTCCTTTCTCATAATATTATCATTTCCAGGACTTACCAGGCTGTGAAGCTTCTCTACTGCTTCGGCATTTTCATCACCTTCGCGTTGCAGTTCTACGTTCCAGCAGAGATCCTCATACCGCCAGCGGTGGCCCGTGTCTCAGAGAGATGGGAGACGGCTGTCGACCTGCTACTTCGCACCGTCTTGGTCATCTTCACATGTAAGTAGCGCTGGGTTCTATCAGAATATGAGATTATAGTCAAAGCCCTAACAAGCAGCATTCTCTAGTCTTCTTCTGCAGACCAGCTGACTTATTGCTCTCATTTATTCATTGTACGATATGTTCTAATGTGCAGCGCCTTCATTTCAATCCTGAGCAGGATCAAGAAACACATGTCTGTTCTGTGCATCTTTCTGGCTGCTGTGAAGCTTTTGAACTTCAGTCTGTGGTGCGCCCAGTTTCTTTTATTGGATTTTTTACTAGGTGCATTTTTACAAAAAAAATAGAGCGGGGACAATCAGCATGCCAGCCGCCACTTTAAAGGCATTTTATTTAATAAATGATGTTTTATCACATAATGACGAGCAGCTCATTAGAAATCTGCCTCATCTTTTCACAGCTCTCTCGTCTTATAAAAATCACACAGAGGTAAAAAAGAAAAATACAATAAAGTAATTGCAGCCAAGGCAATGCACATCCCAGTCATTGAAGTTTGTGTTCAAGAAGAGCTTGAAACTTGAAATTGAGATAATACAGTAAATGCTCATATGTTTGTTTTGCAAACTAGCAAGAGAAAAAAGTGTAAGAGGTCTCTTATCCCACAGCAACAATAGTGTCAGCTGATTTCCTCAGTCAGTTAAATGGAGGGTGGTGGGAGCCGGACCCTAAGGAATTTCTGTGCTACTACTACGAGCCCTCTGCGACCAATTATTTCCAGGTACTGTACTGTGGAGCAGCAGGAGCTTAACTTGGAATTAAAAGTCCCCTCTGCGATTTTCTGTTAGCGCTTCCATCGTGTGTAAGAATGGTGAAGTTTAGGAGATTGTGTCCGATAACGGATTAAAAAGCACTGGCTGCTTTTGACAATAAACTCCAGTTTCTGTATCTGAAGTACTCAGTCCTCACCTTTTCATCTATTTCTCTTTTTGTACAACAGTACCGAAAAACAATTAGGGATTAGTATTATTATTATTCACAAGGTCTGTCAAGTTATTTGTTGCACGGTGCTTGTTCATCCTTATTTATTGTTGGATTTATTTGTTATTTATTGTATTTTTGTTTCAGCAAATGCATTGAAAGTCAGGCTAGACTGAGTTCAATGGTCTCAATGAATGACTACCAACCTCTATATGTAGCTTTGGGCTCGAGTCACAAAAAACAATGCCTGTCAGGTTCAGGTCAGACTCTGTTCATTTTCTCGAACAGTGGGGACAACCTAAATATATGGTGTGATACATCTACTGAAAGAGGTCGGGACAGTCCCTGTAGACTGGCAGATGCAGTAACCATTTTTAAAACCAAAGGGTGTGCTACATTATGTGTAACCGTGAGGATACTGACGTGGTTTGCTTATCGAGTCTTCTTAGTCTCAATGGCCTGAGAGAAGCTTAGTCTACGTGGGCTGCAAGCCATCCACTCCTCATGAATGGAGTGAGAGATGCACTGTATTTAAATTCTTGGCAAAAGTTCAAGCACAATTGTTTGGTTGGCAATGGACTCTGACAAGTTCAGTCTTTTTGACCAATTATTTACGGCAGAAACTCTAAATGCAGCTCAGGAGCAGAGTGAGTTCAGTTTGGTGACCTCAGGATCGCGCCTCTGCTTTTTGCTGATGATGTAGTTCTCTTGGCTTCATCAGACCATGAGCTTAAGCAGACACTCGAACAGTTTGCAAACTAAGCCTTTTTCAGACATGGAACACGTAACATTGCTGGCTTCGTCTATCTGTTGCACTGATTCTTGTCATTCAGACAAAACAGCGGTGAGTTATAAATAGCTACAGACTGTTTGGTTCTCTCTTGGGCTGGATCACTGATTGATTTTGGAATTTATTTAGCAATTAACACTTAAATGAACGACCATTTTGAGCATGAGGAAATTACAACACTGCAGACTGAACACACAAATGTATTTTCTTCATCTTCCAATGTGATCAGGGTCTGAATACTGCCGTTTTATAAAACCCAACAGTTTAAAATCATTGAGTGACACAAGAATTTTATGGACGATACTTTCACACCAGCCTTCTCTGTCTGTAAAATGTTTAATTGTAATCCAATTGCATTTAATTCAGTACTGCATTGATGGTGGTATCTGTTAGCTTTCAGAAGAAGAGCAGAAATTCAGACAAAAGAAATGCTGAGTACAGACACAGTGCTCCCTCTATTTCAGTATTCGTATGTTAAGTTGAGCAGAAATTATTTTCCATCTACAGATTAATGCTTGATCCTGTTAAATCGGGATGGTTGGACTCTCCCATAGGCATAAAACAAGAAGCTGTAACATCTAGACGAAGGAGAACTGCCACTCATTTGTATTTAAAAGAGTCAGTTGAGATGGTCGTTTTATGGTGAAGGAGATTACAGGACAAAGAGCACCAGAAGGACTTTGCTCCCACCTGGTCTGGCATCACCTCAAAATCCCCCAGAATCACAGAGGAAGATGTTGGTTTACCACAAAAAGCAAACCTGGAAAAGTGGATAATTAATGGATGGATACAAAACAAGCTGCCACTAAATAGTTTAATCCAGTCAGCACTCAAAAACCAATTTGAGAGGAGCTCCATTGATTACATTCTGTAGGGAAATGTGTTTGATGGTACTAATTGAATTTTGGATGGATGATACAAACCAGTGCGTCATTGTTTAATGAGCAATGGCTCATTTGTTCTTGGTGCTGTTTAAAGAAAAAAAGGCTAAGTAAGGTTTGGTTAAAGGCAAAGAACTGGAGAAGTAAGTGTGTTTGCCGCAGGCAAAGTGAATTCGATGACCAATCCACAGGTAATGAGTAGGATGGAAGCTCACCTCCACATTTCATTGTGTTTACAAAGAATATCTGTGTAGACTCGAGTCTCAGATCAAAATGCATTTAGCTAAAGATTACAGAAATATAAATATATTAGGGGTCGTTTCATCTAGACAGGAGCCATTAAACATTTCAAATGGTGAAATAGTACAGTGGAAACAGGACATTTATATTTGTTCAACGTATTTCTTTAGGGAATGTGGGAGCATTTTGTATTTACATCTCAGGAAAGTGTGATACCTTTTAGCTGTATTTCATGATTTTCACCCCTGTCTGTTTCTTAATTCCTGAATCAGAATCAGAAGCATTACACAGAAACAGCAGATTTCCAAGAAAGAACCCATTTTATTTTGAATTGGATCCAGAATAAGGTGAGATTTGTGCAGCTTGATTTACTGTCAGGGGACTGAGGTATGCGCTCTACTGACTCATTTAAGTGTTGACATGACACAGGTTTTAATAGTCTGAGTAATTAAGTATGTGTGCGCTAAATAAAACAGAACCTGTATTGATATTATTAGCTCTATTATGGCTGTTGTATTGGTCATGTGTTGCCTCATGGGTTTAGTTGGATGTGTCACCCGTGCAGCTGACAGTATACAGTAAGTATCACAATACTGGATGGGTATTATGCGTCCTGCACACTTGTTGTAATGTTAAGTGCTTTGCATAAAAGCCTCCTTTAAATGATCGAAGTTAAGACCACAAGATGTGAAGGGTTCCCCACGCTCGAGGGGAGTAGGATACAGATGCTGCTCTAAAGAGTGCTTAAAGTCTTATAGCATGTTCGCTTTATTGGACAGGATTGTTTATGAGAGGAAGTAACAGGGGAGTTACAGTACATGAGGGAACTGCATCAGTGAACAAGATGTAGTGTAGATGCAGGTTTATCTTATGCAGCTTATTTAACTGCTCTGCACAGATACTCAGTTTGTGGATGTACAGTTATTCTTTACGTAAATTGTGATAAACAGTAAAAAAAAAAAAGCAAATGTGAATATTTATCCTTGTCAAGAAATGCGGAGCTTCAGTTCATTGCTATTCTGTCCTTGCTGCCCTTCACATGCAATAAAACTTCAAGTCATGGCCAAGTTATTGAGTTACAGAGCCACAGCTCTTGTTAGCCTCAGGATCTTCATTTCCTTTATTAGCTGTGATTCTCCTATGGAGAATATATGCAGATGACATTCGCTACGCGGCACAGGTTTCTTCACATGCATATTGATAAGCTAATAAAAGGGAATACATGCTTACATGTGCCACTCCACGTCTGTGGGTCATTTGCATGGCAGCCTCTAGTCTCATCAATGCTGGGCAGCGTGTGTGTCATTAGTGTGGAGATGGTGCAGCAACAAAAAAAGACTGGCTTCCAATCAGGTGCCAGCGATGCATGCTTGAATGAAGGAACCGAGGGACAGGGGGCTTGGATCATGTTGCTCCTGAATGCACATTTATGTGTAGGAGATTGCTTTTGCATCAAAATACAATATGAGATTGAAGTACTGCATCATCGTCAGGGTATGCGTGGAATAAACCTTGAAGAGAATGCCTCTGAGAGATGTCGTCTTTGAATAGAGTGCAGATGTTGGTTCGCGACTGTCTGGAGGGAAAAGCTTTTGTCTATGTTAAACTGCTGCTGTATGTCAGCTACGGGAATTTGCTTCTCTCGGTAGTAGTGTAGTGCAAAGTTATCTGAGTGTACAGTGAAAGACAGCCTGGCAACATACAAAGAAACAAAATCCTTGACAGACTAACACTACGCAGGGGCATAACTTTTTCAATCTTTCTCTGAGAGTGGCCAAAAAAAGGAAAAATTCATATTAAACTTAAGATCACATAGAGACTAAAACTCAGTGATATCCAGAGAGACCTGTGTCGGTGTTTAGAAGTGGAGCTGTAAAGTTTGTCTGAAGAATATTTAATCCTAGAAGTTTCTACGATCCCAAAAGACGTAGAGAAGTTGAAGTGAATAAGTAGGTAAGATTTCAGTCTGGATCCTAAGTGTGAGGAGGAGTTGTTCTATTTTGCCATTTTGTATTGTTGGTTAGCTGACAAATCATCTGAGATGTGAGAGTGTCCTTCAGGTGATGGTGGAAAAGGAACTGCAGCATTGACTGATGTCCCAAATGGCAGAACTGTGAAATGAACTTCGCTGTTCCCCAGTTTTCCCAATTGCTACAACAACAAATTCCTGG